ATTGGGTCATTTCTCTTTTTCTTAATAATTGCTTGGAGTTCTTTAAATAATCAAATTAGGAATAGTGATAGATTAAAATATTAACTAAATTTTATTTGCTTTTATATATGTGATTTGTTTATATTTGCTGTTCCATAGTTAATCATTTCACCCATTTGACAAAGAAGAGTTTTTAGTTTTAAAGTCATTGAATTCTTCAATTTTCTTCTACAGAGTTGTGCATTTTAAATTTTGTTTATAGATATATCCTACATTCTTTTTTGGGGATTATATGGTTTTGACTTTTACATTTACGCCTTAATCCTCTTTGAATTTGGTGTTTGTGTATGGTGCATTTGTTGAATAGTGTATCTTTTTCTCATTGATCTCAAATACTACCCCCTCCATAAATCAAATTTTCATATATCTGTGAATTTGTCTCTAAATGTCCCATTCTGTTCCTTTGGCCTATTTCTTTATTAATGTGCAATATCACATTGTTAATAAGTTAACAACTATAGTTTTACAATGTTTCAATATGTAATGGGACAAATTCCTTGTTTTTCTTCCTTAGGAGCATGTTGGCCATCCATTACCCTTTATCCTTTACAGAAATTTCAAAATCAACTTGCCATGTTCCATGAAAAAACCTGTTGGAGTTGTTATCATAATTACACTTGCATTTATGTCCGTTAGAAAAGAATGGACAACTTTATGATATGAATCGTTTTATCCAAGAACATGGTATATTTTTCCATAATTGAGTAATTTACTGAACTTCAAAAAGCTCTCTCCTTCTCTATAGGTGTCTTACATGCCTTTTCTTAGATTTATTCCTATGTGTTTATGTATTTTATATAATTTATTACTTTTGTAAAAGATATTTTAAATTGCATTTTCTATCTGATTTTTTGATATATATAAAATTGCTTTTGTTTATTCATTAATTTGTCAATTTTCTTAATTTAAATAATTTATTTGCTGATATTTATCTATTTAAACAATGTCACCTGTTAATAATGAGAGGTTGAGCTGGATGTGATGGCTCATGCTTGTAATCCCAGCACTCTGGGAGGCTGAGGTGGAAGGATTGCTTGAGTCCAGGAGTTCGAGACCATCCTGGGTAATATATGGAGATCCCCGTCCTTACAAAAATAAAGAAACAGTAGCCAGGCGTGGTGGCATATGCCTGTGGTCCCAGCTACTTGGGCGGCTGAGGTGGGAGAATCACTTGAACTCAGGAGCAAGGCTGCAGTAAGCTACGATGGCACCACTCCACTCCAGCCTGGGCCGCAGAGTGAGATCTTGTCTCAAATAATAATAATAATAATAATAAGAAGAAGAAGAAGAAGAAGAAGAAGAAGAAAAAGTTGATTTCTTTCCTTGTAATTCTTAGAACTTCTCTTTTTCTTGTTTTGTCTTGATAGTTGAGACTTCAACTGTAGTGTGAAAAAGAAGTTGTAAGACTGGTCATCCTTGTCCTGTTCATGATCTTAAAAAGAATACTTGAAACTTTTACTATTATATATCATATTTGCCCTAGAGTTTTGTAGGTCTTCTTTATGAAGTTAAAGACATTTCCTTCCTAAGTCTTTTTACTCATTCTCTTTCTACTTTCGTGAAAGTACTATCATTAATGTTTATTGATTTTACTGAACATCTTTTTTGCAACTATGGATGTAATTATATGGTTTAATCTCTTTTAACTTGTTAAAGTAGTGAATTACAATAATCTTGATCTGTAGTTTTCCTATTTTGTTCTGTCCTTGGCTAGCATTTATATCAAGGTTATGCAACTCTCATAAAATATGCTGGGAAGTGTTCCTTTTTTTCTGTTTTAGAATTTATGTAAGAAATGTTTGGTAGCATGAGTAAACTCTTCTGGCATGGTATTTCCTGTGTGACAAGATTTTAAACTACAGATTGAATTAGATTTTACTATACAAGGGATTTCTAGTTCCTCTTAAGTTATTTTTATGTAATATTTTCTACAAATACATATATTTCATCTGTTCACAACTTGTTGGCCTGAGGTTGTTCATAATATTCTTTTTTATTCCTTTTTAATGCCTATGGAAAGAATAAGAATCTTCTCTTTTATGCCTAATGCTATTATTTTTTCATATTCTTTCCTTTTTTGGGGGTAAATATCACCAAACATTTATCTTTTTAAGGAACAACTTTTAGCTTTTTGAAATTTTACTTTCTGTTTCATTTGTTTTTGTACTTATTTCTATTATCTTTTTTTGTTCCTTTCTTTGGGTTTATTGTGCTCTTCTTTGTCAAATTTTTTTAGGTTGGGTATTTGGTTCACTCAATTTTAAGACTTTCCTCTTTTCTAATGTAAGAATTATAAACAATATTTTTTTCTCTGATAACTGTCTTAGTTGCTTCCTATAATTTTTAAATACAGCTTTTTTTTTTTTTTTTTTTTTTTTTTTTTTTTTTTTTTAGTGAGAGAGATGGGGTCTTGCTGTGTTGCTCAAGCTAGACATGAACCTCTGGGCTCAAGCGATCCTCCTGTCACAGCCACCTGAGTAGCTGGGACTACAGGCATGCATCACCATGCCAAGACTAAATGTAGCATTTTTCTTAACTCTAGGTGCATAAACATTGAATAAATAAAGCAATTTGTCCAGGTATTTATTTACATAATCTGATAATGTGTTGAGAGCATTAGGGCATAGAATACAGTTTTCATAATTTCTAACGTACTTAAAAAAAAATCTTAGATATACCTCAAATAAATAACTCCATAATTTCCTTTCCCTCTCAAGTATACATGCCTTAACAGGGTAAAAAAATAAAATTAGCACGTTTAAAATCAGAAAACATTCTTACGCAGGGCCCATGACCTTTTGTATTTATGCTACCTAAAACATAGAGAAGACTGAACATTATTATATGTATAGCTAGAAAAACCAAGACTGAATGTGCTTTTAGTTGATCCTCTTTCCAATTAGACACTTCCTCCCTCGCAGGTGGATCCTTTTAGGGGCCCTAGTTTTGGAGCCCAAGAGCTTGGTTTGTTGTAGACTCAACCTCTTAATCAAATGTATCTTTCGCAAGTCATTTAAGGACTTTACAAACTTCAGTTTCCTTATTTTGTTCATTAAAAATCATAATATCAAATTCCTAGAATTTTTCTAAGGATTTAATAAATGTGAAAAAATTATTAAAAATAATACTTCATATTTACAAAGTAAATAATTATTAATTATTGTTCTCCCTATGGTGGTATTTCTCCTCAAATTTTCATACCTTTTTTTTTTTCTCATTTGTTTTTCTACTTTCCTACTTCCCCTAGGAAGCTTTCACTTTCCCTCTCTAAATACTGGAAAGGGGTCCTGATCCAGACCACAAGAGAAGGTTCTCGGATCTTGCACAAGAAAGCATTTGAGGTGAGTCCATAGAGCAAAGTGAAGCAAGTTTATTAAAAAAGTAAAGGAATAAAAGAATGGCGTACATAAGCAAAGCAGCTCTGAGAGCTACTGGTTGTCCATTTTTATAGTTATATCTTGATGATATGCTAAGCAAGGGGTGGATTAATCATGCCTTCTCTTTTTAGACCATACAGGGTAACTTCCTGACATTGCCATGGCATTTGCAAACTATCATGGTGCTGGTGGGAGTGTAGCAGTGAGGACAACCAGAAGTCACTCTTGTCTTGATTGTGTGGGTTTTGGCAGGCTTTTTTTTACTGCAACCTGTTTTATCAGCAGTGTCTTTATGACCTGTATTTTGTGTAAGCTCCTATCTCATCCTATGACTTAGAATGCCTAACTCACTGAGAATGTAGCCCAGCAAGTCTCAGCCGCATTTTACCCAGCTGCTATTCAAGATGGAGTTGCTCTGGTCCAAACACCCCTGAGTCTTCTGGTTTAGAGGCCAAGTGTTAGAGATTCAATCTTCATAGATGGGAAATCCCCTATAGATCAATTATACATTTAAAGCACCTCTTTTTGCCAAGGAAAAACAAAGGTGCAGGGAATGATTATCCCAATATCTGTAATTGGGGGTGGTAAAATTTCCTAGGAGTTAATGGTAGAGTCAAGACCAAAACAGAGGTTTCAGGACTCTTCTTACCTGATGAGTGGCACTTTAAATTTTTATTTACTTAAGTGTTTTGGCCAGTAATTCGCAACCTTTTTTGAGGTAGTTATGCCCATAAGACATCCAACAATGGTCGTCTATGAGTCTACTGGAAAAAAATAACACTTTTATTAAAAGGCTTGATGATAGCTATGTGATGTTAGTCCACAGAGTATCTATTAAGTGATGAACCTCAAGATGCCTAAGAATTTAGAAATAAAATAAAAGTCAGTCAGTAAAATACAACCCTACATTGCAAAACCAGACATTCAAAAGCCAGTATGGGACACAGAATGTGGCAACTGGATAAAAAGTATTTCATTGTTGTCATTTATTTTGTCTCCCTTGAAGAAACAGTCTCTAATGGCAAGTCACTTGACTTATAAACTAACAGACTTCATTAAATAGATATTGATTGATTGGACATCAGCAGTCATTCACTGAGTTTCATTCAGTCCATCCAACTGAAAACACGGGATATCATGCTTGCCCCTAAGGTGCCATGACTTTGGTACACAACACCTAAATGTCTCCAGAAAGTTCACAGATGCCTGGCTAGCAGCCATCACTCCTAGTGGAAAGGATGCCCAGTACCCAGCTGATTCCATCACGACAGCGTCCTTAACAATAGCTATAGACTATTGCTTGTTTAACCTAGCTTCAGGGACCAACATCATTCACAGAGAGGGAGCAAGCAGGGGTCTGGTCAGTCACGTCCAGCCTCGCGCCTACAAAGAGATTAGGCAAGGCTGTGGAGTAACGTGAGCAGTTTGGGCGTCCACTGTCCGGCTCCAGTATCCCCGAGTCCAGAGGCAACAGGAGTCTCTAGACATTATGCACTGTAGAGAAATCAAAGAATTCGAGAGCAAGGCCCTGGAATGCCTGGCTGCCTCCCAATTCTCTTACGAAGAAATAAATTCCATTGTTGTCTCACTCTCCTTTCCGTACTCTCGGAATCAGCAGTTACTGTACTGCAGCACCTTTCCCTCTCCAAGGAGACTCTCAGCCACAGCAGGAAGCACAGGGATCTTAAAATACAAACTCACAGTGCTCCCCACATTGATCTCCCACATGAACCCATCTCTCTTGTCACGGACTGTGGGCTTCGTGACTTTCTCCATGTGCTGGACTGTTGCGTGGTCACTGTTGCCAGGGACTCTTTGAACTAATCCCAAGCCTATGTCAGAAAAGGCTGTGATCGATTCCCAGTGCCATCCTGAACCACGAGATTGGAATATCGCACCTTTCAACTGCCTGGGCTGATAAACAATACAGCATGTACTCAGCTTCATAAACACTCTGCCTTGTTACAAAGGGCATTGCAAACTCGCCGTGATAGGACTTGACCTTAAAAGCTATAGACAATCTAGCGGAGCACAGACGGTTTCATAAAGTACAATCACTTCCTGGAATTCTTGGGCCAGTGCAGTCGGAGCCGTGCAAATCCTGTTTTCCTTGCATTGTTTCCTGCATGTGAATATCATCAGTCTAGCAGGTCTGTAACCATGGCACTTGTAAATAGCCGAGGGGCGACTTCTGATAAAGGCATACAGTTTTAAGAAGCTTGCTTTTTTTTTGTTGTTGTTGAGACAGAGTCTCGCTTTGTCGCCCAGACTGGAGTGCAGTGGCCGGATCTCAGCTCACTGCAAGCTCCGCCTCCCGGGTTCACGCCATTCTCCTGCCTCAGCCTCCCGAGTAGCTGGGACTACAGACGCCCGCCACCTCGCCCGGCTAGGTTTTTGTATTTTTAAGTAGAGACGGGGTTTCACCGTGTTAGCCAGGATGGTCTCGATCTCCTGACCTTGTGATCCGCCCGTCTCGGCCTCCCAAAGTGCTGGGATTACAGGCTTGAGCCACCGCGCCCGGCCCTTTTTTTTTTTTTTTTAAAGACAAGCCCAAGTCAAGCTCTACAAACACCATATAGCAACAACCAAGTTGACAAATGGCAGTTTCTAAAGCACATATATCCAGATCCAGATCCAGATTTGTTTTTAAATCACCAAAGGAAGCAGAATAATTGATGCCCATTGTATTGAGGGTACCGTCAGTTGTTTTTCACTTGTTGTAATGTAAATTTCCACACCAAATCCATAGAGATGGACACTGACTACAATTGCTAGCAATTCTTTCCACAGTATTTTTCCTTTTCCACTGAATGGGGCTGGGAAATTTTAAGTGCTCCGTCCTTCAGTTTCTCCAGCCGGCAAGAGGAAGAGGAAACACCAGTTATTTCTTGGAATGCTCGGTTTAAAACTTACTCTTCAAAAGTTTGACACCACTCTTCCTACTCCAACTTCATCCTGGGGCTCCACAGGCTCTTATTTAAGCTTTGAGATGATACAGTGAATGAAACATGTAGTCCCAGCTACTCAGGAGGCTGAGGTGAGAGGATCACCTGAGCCTGGGAGGCAGAGGCTGCTGTGAGCTCTGATTGCGCCACTGCCCTCCAGCCTGGGCAACAGAGTGAGACCCCACCTAAAAACCAACAACAAAACAAACAAACAAACAAACAAAACGGGGAGACACACACAAATAGACTGCTTTAAGTTTCTGGAAAATCCAAAGATTTTTACTAGATTTACTGCAAATGCCTCAGTATACAAAGTTTCAATTGGCTGAATCAATCCTGATTCTTCCGCCTTGTATATTATTGAAATGTTGGTTGAACTGAAAATGTAAGTTAGTATTCTTAGCAGATGTAAAATGTGGTGGATATTGGGCTAACTGTCAACAAAAGTGTTTTAGGCTGAGAAGGATATCATTGGGAGAGAAAGAAAAGAAGAGACTACTCATACAATAGTATGAGACTATTGCTTATGTTTTCATAGAGACTTATGTTTAATTTTTTAAGATTCAGAAGTCTTTCTGAAACTTTAAATTATTTCTTTTTCTCTCTCTCTCTCTTTTTAGAGATGGGGTCTCTTTCTAGCTTTGGCTGGAGTGTAGTGGTGCAATCATGGCTCACTTCAGCCTCAATCTTCCAGGTCAAGTGATCTTCCCGCCTTGACTCCTAAAGTGCTGAGATTGTAGGCGTTAGCCACAGTGCCTCGCATATTTCTATTTCTGAATTTAAAATAAAAATCTGTAACATCTGACCAGTATCTTCACTTGAGCATCAAGGACAAGTTTGACGCCTTTGGGAAAAATTATGTCTCCTATTATGCCAACACATGGTAAACACTAAAAGTTTTAGGATAGTAATTAACAAAATATACCCCGGTTCAATCCTTTCTCTTAAAATAATTAGCAAAAGTATGTTTGATGAGTTGTTTTCTCATGACATATCTTAGAATGATGATCTGCTTTCAAATCTTCACTTTCCATGAAACTACTCTGTGTTTCAGGTGTCATCTAACTTTTTTTTTTTTTTTTTGACAGAGTCTCGCTCTGTCGCCAGGCTGGAGTGCAGTGGGGCAATCTCGGCTTACTGCAACCTCTGCCTCCTGCGTTCAAGCGATTCTCCTGCCTCAGCGTCCCGAGTAGCTGGGACTACAGGTGCCCACCACCATGCGCTGTTCATTTTTGTCTTTTTAGTAGAGACGAGGTTTCACCATGTTGGCCAGACTGGTCTCAATCTCTTGACCTCATGATCTGCTGGCCTTGGCCTCCCAAAGTGCTGGGATTATAGGCGTGAGCCACCGTGCCTGGCCCATCGAACTTTTTAATATAGATTGTATGATGTTTTCATTAAAAAAGCTGGGCTCAGAAAGGCTGTATAAAGCCACACAGCCAGCAAGCAGCAGAGTCTGCATTTTAATCCAGACATTCATGGCTTCAAAGCAATGTTATTTAACTCTAACAATGCAATTGAACTAACTGACATCAGACACAAATATTCTGAAGAACCTGGAGAAATAGAAAAGAATTGGATAGAACTGATGGCTCACGGGCAGAAATATAAATGGCATTGTTCAGCCATGAAGCCATATAATTTCAACGTGACTTTCCTTCTCTATTGTCCTATCTCATTGTCTAGCTTGTAATGTGGTCACAATCATGTCACATGGCTGACTTCCTGCATATTTGGTTTCCTCATGGGAGTTTAGTAATTCCTGATTGATTTAGAGCAATAAAATAAACTAAAATAAATTCTAGTTTTTTCAACTTCCATGCCATAGAAGTGAAAATGTATTCTCACATTGATGTATTTAACCACTTCCCCTGCACGAACTAGTGATATGATGCCAATTCTCGAAGGATCTGACTTCTCTTTACATTTATGTAAGTTCTCTGAGCTCAAGGGTAAGGTAATATACACTTTCCTTGGCAGCCAGCTGGCTCAGAGACATTCTCTGTTGGTTAAAACCATTTCTCTGGGTCCCATTACCATATTGCCTGCAACCTAATAATGCCACACCAAATTCGGCCTTCTGATAAGCATGAGTAACTTCCTCTATAGCCAGAGGGAGGCACATAGCATGACTTTGGAACCAGACTTGGCTTTATATATTATATTTACTTTAGGGGGCAATTCGTTTACGGGCACAGGCAGGGACATAAATACTTCCTTTTCATGACGGTCCCAGAGGGACAGCAGGCATACAATGTGGCTTCATACCACACAAACAATTCAACATAGAAGACTCCTCCTAGCATAATAAACAACCCACAGTCACCGTGTTCTTGACATTGACAATGCTTTTTAAAGTTAGATCAAAAAGGTGCTTGGGCTTTTTAAAAATGTTTTTAAACTTGGTGTCTGTCTGGACAGGGCAAAAAGTCCTGTCCATCTGTTGGATGCAGTAGACCTGGAAGTGGGATGATTTAAATAAATTGTGCTTGCAGCATTTTGAAGGCATTTTTCCATAGGAGCTACATGGTAAAAAGAAATTATTTTGGGTTTTCGTTCTGTCCATAATGTTTAACCAGTTATAGTTTATATTACTTTTCTTTTGATAATTAGACTAAGCCGGGTAGAATAGAGAGAAATCCAATAGAGAAGTGAAATTCAAGCCTACATTTCTCAGAGGATCACTGAATACATCTAAGATTTATAATTTTAACTATAATTAACTATTAACTTGTAATTAATTATATAAAGTATTTTGATATTTTGATAGATTTCTTAGGAGTTTTATTTTTCTTTTTTAAGAGAGGCAGTAACTAACTTCTCTTTTAAAAGAAAACTAGCTTAAACATCAATTGGAAGTTAAGGCCAATATTAGAGAAACATCAAACTACTTCCAAAAATCAACCAGTCTGTCTCACTCTTTGTGTCTGTCCTGCATTGTGAAAGTTTGGAAAACCAATAATAGAAATTTTTCTCCAAAATAAATTAAATATCATTTACCCAGGAAAAGGAACAAAAAGTTTATCAGTCCTAAGAATGTAGTCATCAACATATGTCTCTCCGTATAAATGTATGCCTTTCTGTTTAGAAGAGACTAAACATTCTTCAGACAGTATCTACTTATACTCATTAACAATTTATTTACCAAGAGTATGCACTGTTGCTTACTAGAGTAATACTGAGTAAGGAAAAGGAATTCAGACCTGTATCCAGCCAACATGGGTATTAATGTCTCTAACCAGTCATATCCATGTTAGAGATTGTCTGGTTAGAGTTAGAGCAGGGACCCATATGTGACTGGGACATAAACTGAGATAGATAAATCCCCAAAGACAGACATGGATAAATTGCTAAGGGAAACCCTATTTGAATTTCAGTAGACTCGAATGTTAACTCCTGCCATCACAAGCAGAACAAAATATTGTATGCTCAGGTACCAGAGTGTTCATCAGCGGTTCTGTTGATCCACGTGTTGTATGGGATCTCCAAGATGCTCACTTTAGTGACCTACCTGCTCATGGAAACAACCAAACTTCAGTTTGATATGGCTTATCTCTTTATTCGTGATTGGCATGTGGAGGTTTTTTTTTTTTTTTTGAGATGGAGTCTTGCTCTGTCGCTCAAGCTGAAGTGCAGTGGCGTGATCTCTGCTCACTGCAACCTCCACCTTCCTGGTTCAGGCGATTCTCCTGCCTCAGCCTCCCGAGTAGCTGGGATTACAGGCGTGCACCAGCATGCCCAGCTAATTTTTGTACTTTTAGTAGGGATGGGGGTTTCACTGTGTTGGCCAGGCTGGTCTCCAACTCCTGACCTCAACTGATCCACCCGCCTCGGCCCCGCAAAGTGCTGGCATTGCAGGTGTGAGCCACTGTGCCTGGCCTCATTTGGAGCTTCTTATAGACTTCTGAGAAATGATTTATCTCAGTTGAAGGAAGATGGATTGCATGTCACAGGCAACGTGTGTTTGGACAAGCTGTGTGAGAGTTTTCATGGCTAACAAATACATTGTCCCACAAAAGGTCATAGTAAAAAATTTCTCACTCTAACACTCAGAAATACATTGATGTCATAGTTTTTAAATAACAATTTATGTAGCTGTGGTCTTGACCCACAACAGTCAGTTCTATCCAAAACTTGCGAGACTTGTTTCTAACTGTCTCTATAAACAGTGAGAGCATCATCCAGTGTCCTGAGGTAGTTGATTTAAGCTCAGAGGAAGGCCTTGCCCTCTTGAAAGAAGCTAAGGTATATTTCTCCTAATACAGGCTGGGAAGAAGAATTATCAAGTTACTCCACAACATTGACCAGCTCAAATCACACAAAAACAGAAACTTTCCACTATTTCCAAGCTGTGGTGCTTTCTAACAGACTTTTCTGCCTAATATTAATTATTTCCAAGAAGTTGGAAAGATTCTTTTCAAATTTATCTTTAAAGCAAAAGTGGAGCACCCTTTGAAAATTGTACGTTGTTTATGGTGTCCTTGTTGTACTGTGAAATAGTCAGAGGTAGTAAGAGTTTCGGTTATGGTTGGGGAAGAGTCTGTCTCCTCACCATCCCCCATCCCCCACACCCATCTGCCCTTCTTAGGGATTTTACTCCATCAGTGGTGGGAAGGATCATCTTCAAAGTCAATGAGAAAAATGACATTCACTAGAGATGTTAGAATTTGGAAAGAGTAGCCAGGCCCTGTGGCTCATACCTATAATCCAAGCACTTTGGGAGGCCAAGGTGAGTGGATCGCTTGAGGCCAGGAGTTTAAGACTAGCCTGGGCAACATAAAGAGACCCCCATATTAACAAAAAATTTTAAAAAGTTAGCCGAGCATGGTGGCGCCTGTGATCCCAGCTACTCAGGAGGCTAAGGTGGGAAGATCGCTTGAGCCTAAGAAGTTGAGACTGCAGTGAGCAGTGATTGCACAACTGCACTCCAGCCTGGGTGACACAGCAAGACCCTGTCTCAAAAAGAAAAAAAAGATTGAAAAGAGTTACTGGTGGGACCCCAAAACCCAATCTGTCAATGGGACCACTTTCAGAGTTTCAGGATTTACTGCTCCCAGAATAGGGTTGCAGTTGAATGATATGATATGTGGTAATTTATCAATAATATGATTAGTGCCTTTTCAACCAAGGTCCAAAAAATTCCATGGAAATTTATATGAAACAGATGTTCCCTGAGATAATTCCTGCCAATAAACACAAATGGGGCTCCAAAAAGCACCCATAAACAGAATAGGAGTTAAATAACTAAAACTGGGGACAGTGGAAGGATTATGAATATTCCGATGTACCATCTTTTTCTTCTGAAAGGCTTTGTATATTATTCATTTTTTTCTTTAAGAACAATAAATAATATTGATGACTTGTCTCTGACTCTTTTGGTCATTTCAAGTAAAAGCAGTCAAAAGAATTCTAGTAATGGCAGGGTGACCAACCAAGTCTATTCTATATAGTGTCATTGAAATAATTGCTATTTGCAAGCTGACAAATTGTACCCAGATTCCCTGGGTTTTGTTTTTCTTTGAATCACATTTGGAACAAGAATAAACAAATCTCATTGCAAAGTGATGAGTTGGATTTAGTCCTGGCTGATTCAGGCCTGGGCGATGGCTCTGAAATTCTGGTCTATGAGTCTGAACCTGTTGAGTCATTGAAAATCAGCAGTGCTAGGGTGTGCTATGCTGGTGTAGTGTAAACCCAAAGCCATTAAAGGACCTAACACAATACAATATTATGCTCTAGGTTGCCCAGGGGATGAGCAAACCTCAAAATGCCTAGACATGCACCTAAAAATAGGAGGGGTCTTGACATTCTTTAACAATGCCAATTCTCCTATTGTTGAGAAATGCAAGTTGGTGAATATTTCTGGGTGGGTTTTCTCAAGCTGACAAGTGATTTTCTGGCTCTTTGTTAGAGAGAGAGAAAAAGGAGAGAGAGAGAGAGAGAGAGAGAGAGAGAGAGAGAGAGAGAATTGCCCTAAGGATAAAGTATGGGGCTCAAGATCCAAAGTATAGTTAAGATAATTAATGTAAATTTTCTCGACTTCATTTATTTATTTGTAATAATGTTGTCATCTTTGTTCAATGGAATTCTTAGAAGTTTGTGGTATATGGCTTAAGTTACACTTGAATGACCTGACCTATACCTTCAAAATCTTGCACATGCACATTTTGGAAATTTTAATGAGTCAAATATCAATGATTTTTTTTTTTAGCAGCCAGTCCTTAACACGAAACACATAAAACACAAAATTTACTTCCAAAAAGTCAATTTCATACTCTTCTGCAACTTAGGATTAAATCACTCATAGGAAGCAAGTAAACTCAGAGAATGATTCACTTTACAAGGGTTCTGCAGGAGGAAGCCTAAGAGATGTTTGCCTTGAAAAAATAATACATCTCAGTTGTTTATCAACCTAAAATTCTGGGCACATTTTACGCTGAAATAGAGAGGAGTAGGATTTCATTTTTTCTGTAATCAATTTCCTTCACAGAAGCAATAAAAATCAGCCCCGATTATGCAAGAAGCCTCAACAGTCGATGTCATTCAGTGCCTCTTTTCACTATGAAATAGATAATATTTTGTTACCTTAAGGAGATTACAGTGCTATCTGTTTCTTCTCCTGTTCCTCTTTCTCCTCCTCTTTCCTTTTTCTGGGGATGGGGTGTGAGACTTGGGAGAAGGTTAACTGAATGGCATATGATGAGGGACAATTTTAAGACACTTCAAGCCCTTGTGTCTCAGGCAAATAAACAGCCCTATTTTTGTCTAAAGATTGTGGGTTAGGGTCTGCAACCTGCCCTTGGGCAAGGAGTGAAGGGAA